ATCTCTCTGGCGGGGCCAGTTTGCCCATTTGTCAGGAACCTTCAGGAGGCCTACAACCAGCCGGGGGTGCCCTACCATCAGACACCGGCACCCTCCCTCCCCCTCCTCCCTCCCCCTCCTTCCTCCTCGCTCTCCTCCCCCCCTGTCTCCTATCGCATTTCTCCCCATCCGCCGCTGTCTCTCTGTTGTCCTCCTGCCCGCGCTGCCCTGGTCGCCCGCTGCGCATCGCCTTAACGGCGCCCCCTCACGCTACTCGGCTTCACCTGCCCCCTATCCCTGTCTTTGCTCCTCTTCTTCCCCCCCCCCCGCTCCCGCCTCCACGAAGCCCGCCTGTCATGAAGAAGGGTAAGAACACCGCTGTTGCGAGCAAGGCATCCCCGGCCGCCGTCGCTCCGGCCACCATCGATGTTGAGGCCGATGGGGCCAAGCGCACCCGCCGCACGCGCGCCTCCACTGCGGCCGCGGCCGCCGCTGCCGCCGCCGCCGCTGCCAAGTCCACTGAGGAGTCGACTCCCTCCAAGAAGGCTGCCTCCCTGGTCAAGGGCACTGCGTCCCAGAGCAAGTCGCCTGCCGCCAAGAAGACTGGCGTTCCGGCCGGCAAGAGGGCCGCCAGCAGGAAGGCTCCCCAGGAGTCGGCTGATGTGACGATGGTCGATGCCGATGCCGATGCCAGTTCGCCGACCGAGCAGAAGCCTCGCAGGTCCAACCGCAAGGGTCCTCGCGGCTCCAAGGCTGTCCCGGGCCCTCGCAGCGCCCACGCCCAGCAGCGCCTTCAGCGCCGTCACCAGCTCCAGCAGCAGGCCGTCCTCCCCAGCGGCTTCAAGGTCCCCGGCTTGGCCAACCCGAAGTTTGCCGACCGGCGCCTTTCGACATTGGAGCGCTTCCAGCGTCTGAGCCGCGTCGTGGTGTCAGCCGTCCCTCGGAAGTCGCTGCAGCGCGCCGCTGTGGCCGGTGGCGCCCCCGTTGGCCCTCGTGCTACCCAGCGCCGACTTTCGCTGTCTTCCGGCTCTGCAGATGCCACGCGGACCGTCTTCCACCGGTGCCTCTTCTACCGTCTGCAGCCGTCCGAGATCCGGACCCTCTGCTGGTCGCCGGATGGCCGGACACTCGCTGTCCTCCGTGGTGATGGATCGATCGGCTTCTGGACCGAGCGTTCGCAGTGGTATTGCGAGAAGGTGCGTTTCCCGCATCTTTCTTCCCCCCCCGTTTGTCCCGATCCTCGTTTGTTTCTCGACCGGAGCTCCCGTGCCCTTGGGTCTTTTTTTCCTCTCTCTCTCTCTCTGGTCAGCATCCAACTCATGCCCCTCTTCCTTGGCCCCTCCCCGCGGCCCATTCCCCCGGCCCCATTGGTAGTCCATCAACGGTGGCACCAGTCGCCAGCACAACACCATGGCCTTCTGCCCGTCGGGCCGTTTCTTCACCGGCGCCTTCACCGGCCAGCTGACCGAGTGGGACCTCCTGACTCTGACGCCAAAGGTGCGAAGCTCCAGTCCCCAGTCCCCAGCCCCCCCCTCCCCCCCTCCCCTTGCCGGTTTCGCCTGACACATGGGAGGATGGCCCGCTAACCCTTCGACTCCTTCTCCTGGGGGGCTCTCCTCGCAGCGCGTGTCCGACTCCTATGGCGGTCCCATCTGGTCTCTGGCTGTCAACTCGACCGGCACCGAGCTGGTGGCCGCCTGTGATGATGGCTCGACTCGCCTCTTCGACATTTCGGATGACCGTCTGCAGTACTCGCGCGCCTTCGAAAGCCAGAACCGTGCGTAGACCCCCCTCCATCCGCCCCGTACTCCGCAAACGCACACCCTTCATCCCTAACCCGAGTTTCCAGACCGTGCCCTTTCTGTTGCCTGGCATTCCTCCGATAAGGTTGTCGTCGTCGGTACTTCGGCCGGTGTCATCAAGAAGTACAACGCCGTCACTGGGCGCTTGGTGTTCAGCGCATCGGTTCCCAAGAACAAGGCCGACGTTCGTGTCTGGAGTGTCCACATGCTGACCGATGGCACGATCATTGCTGGTACCTCGACCGGCCACGTCCTGTTCTTCGACGGCCAGACTGGCATCCTCAACCAGACCATCCAGACCCATGAGGCGGATGTCCTCTCGATTGCTGTGTCCAAGAGTGGCGACACTGCCTACGCCTCCAGTGTCGATTCCAAGGTGGTCGAGCTGAAGCGCTCCCAGAGCAACTCCTCCCAGAGCATCGACCTGTCGGTGCGTGGCGGGCTTTCTCCAGCCTTGCTCCCCCCCCCCCCCTCCCCCTTCTCCTTCGCACACGTGCTTTCCACGCTCCGGCTTCTTTGACTGACCGAAATGCAGTTCGAGTGGGTCCACTCTGCCAGCTCTCGCATCCACTCGCACGATGTCAACGCTCTGGCCCTGCGCCCCCAGGCGGATCTGCTGGCCTCTGGTGGTGTGGACACCCAGATCATCCTGACCAATGTGGCCAAGTTCACCACGCAGGACGTCGTGCGGATCTCCCCCTTCGACACCTTCCGCACGCACATTCAGGTGGCTCCGGAGGCGCGCCTGGTCCTCCTGACTTACCCGCACAGCGTGGCTGTGCATGCTCTCCGCTCGGGTGCGTGCTCGGCCTTCTCGCACTTGAATGCGTCGTTCCTCCTTCTCGCCCTCTTTGGATCTCTTCTTGCATCCACGCCACGCGCTCCATCGGCCCTAATATCCTCTTCCTCTGCCCGCCTCGGTGCTCGTAGCCGACGATGCGGGCCAGGTTGTCCGCACTTCTGCCAAGGAGGATTTCGAGGAGGAGAAGCTGATCGAGATTTCGCTGAAGGTGCGTACACTTGCTCGGCCGTCGGGGGGGGGGGGGGGGCGCTTCACTTTAGCCTGTCGGTCTCTGACACGCCTGTTTTCCCCATCGCAGCGTCACTTGATGATCCAGTCGGCTGCCATTTCGGCCAATGGCAAGCTGATCGCCATCGCCGATGGCGGCAAGCTCCGTCTGTACTCCCTCGGCGAGTCGGTGCGCATCGCTTTTTACCTTTCTCTTTTGCTGCGACTTTTCCGCGATCTTCTGACCCCCTTTATCATGCTTCCTTTCTCCCTTTCTCCCTTTCTCCCTCTCTTCTCCCTCCCTCTCTTCTCCCTCCCTCTCTCCCTCTCTTCTCTCTCCCTCTCTTCTCTCTCCCTCTCTCCCTCTCCCCCTCTCTCCCTCTCTCCCTCTCTCCCTCTCTCCCTCTCCCCCTCCTTCTCTCGCTCCGTCACTCTTTGTCTTCTTCCACGTTTCGGTGGCTCGGCGACTGGGGCAGACTCATCACCGGCTGTCGGCGGCGCCGCTGACTCTCAACCTGCCTGCTGAGATGCACGCCGTCACGCGGGTGCACTTCACCGCGCATGAGACCCCTTATCTGGTTGCCACCTCGGCTGATCGGGTGTTCTCCTTCAGCATCCAGGAGGATCGCCTGCTGGGGTCGGCCCGCCTGAGCGCGCTGGCCCCGGCCGCTGTCGGGTCGGTCCCGCAGGGCACCATCCACACGGTGACCAGCTCGCCGACTGGGCATCTCGTGGCTGTCGGTGATTTGGCCAACAACATCCATGTCTTCCAGACGACCACTCTGCAGCATCGGGCCACGCTGCCGGTCTTTGAGAGCCTACATACGGCCACCGGCTTCACGGCCGATGGCAACCACCTGGTGGTGGCTACGGCTACGGTGACTGTTTACATTTTCGAGATCGGCACCTCGCAGCTGACACACTGGTCTCGGTACGCACATGCATGCACATGTGACATGCTGTTGTCTCCTCTCTGGCGCCCCCCCCCCCCCACACACTCACACTCACACTCACACTCACACTCACACAAACTCTTTGCCCCCTGGCCCTCCCTCCCTTCTCTCCCCCCTGTCTTTCAGACTCAACTCTGTCCGTCTCGGTGGTCCCTTCCTCAAGCGCGAGAACCTGGTCCGGTCGATTTTGATCGATCCAAAGCGCCCGCAGACCGTGGTCCTGGCGTCGCTCTTCAACCTGTGGCGCTTCTCCCCGCGGGGGTCGGTCCGGTCGAAGCTGTCGCGCACGACGCCGGCCGCCGCGGTGACGGCCAGCGCCCCTGGCTCCGATGCTCCCGCCTCGCCGCTGAATGTGTCCAATCTGCATGAGCTCCAGCAGGCGCTGGTCTTCACACTGACCATGCAATCGTTTGATGCCGATGAGAAGGTGGCTGTGGCCGAGGCGCAGCTTCAGCAGGCCACTGAGGCTGCTGGGGAGTTGGCCACCCGTCTGGCTGCCCTGCAGGGGGATCCCGATGTCCCGAAGTCCCGAGTGCAGGAGGTCCAGGCTGAGCTGGATGTCTTGCAGCAGAAGATCGCCAGCCAGAGCGAGCGCCTGCAGGGGCTGACCCTGATCGCTCAGGAGGCCCTCAAGGCCAAGAATGTGGCCCTGGGTCAGGCGAAGCATGATCAGTGGCTGCACCAGCGCCAGCATAACTCGCCGAACAACATGCCCGGCAAGCGCCAGCGCGGGACCAATGGCTCGGCCTCCCTGACGTCCGGGCTGTCCCCCTCGCTGCAGGCGTACCTGACGGCCATGCCGCCGGATGCCCTGCGCACGCAGCTGGATTCGCTGTTGGCTTCGGTGTTCAGCAATCCGGTCGGCTGCATGGAGCGCAAGTCCCCGCTCCTGGGGGCGTGCTTCCTTCCGAGCACCGGCGCCAGCGGCCCCGTGGCCGAGGCATCGGAAATGGTCCTGGTCGAGCGCTCTGGTCTGGCGGTCAAGCTGGCCTTGCCTGGTGCCCTGACGCGCAAGCGCTTCGGTCGCAAGTAGGACCGCCTCACCGCCGTTGTACAAAAAGGGTACCAGGAAGCTGGCGAGAGAGCGAGAGAGAGAGAGAGAGAGGAAGGGAGGGGGGGGGGGCGGACTAAGATTCCCCCCTTTGTTGATGTTCATGTCCCCAATGTCCTCCTGTCCCTCCCTCCCGGCTGCCCGTGTCACAGTGCTCCGGCGTGCGTGTGTGGGTGTGCGCGTGTCACAGGGAGTCCCTCCCTCTTGGGATCTTGTATCCGCCCCTCCCTCTTGGGATCTTGTATCCGCCCCTCCCCCTTCCCCTGTCACTCCTGTGCCTCTCCATTTCCCCCCTCGTGGGCGCGCATGTCTCCTCTCCCTTCCACCCTGTGGCCGATTTGCCCGTTGTGGCATGCCTCTTCCCCGTCCCCTTCTCTCGTCCATCCTTCCTGTAGACACCCCCGGCCCCGGATGGGCCCCTCATAAAATACATTTATATATTAGATTATCCCCTCCTTTCGTCGGGAATTTGCCTTTGACAACTTTATCTTCATGGAAGAGGCTGGATCGGAGACCGCGCTGGCAGCCACGCGTTTATGTGTAGGATTGCGTGGGGGGAGGGCTCCGGGGAGGGGGAGGGGGGGGGGAGGGGCGCCATGGTCGGCCAAGAGGGTGTGTCAAAGGGAGGCAAGTCGAAAGGACGATGGAATGCGCAGAGCTGGCCAGTTATGCATTGTGTGGCGGTGGCACAGGTAGGTCGCGGAAGGTCGATGTCGGAGGCCCGGCATCCTGGCCCGCGGGCGGGGCCCCCGCCCCCGGGCCTGAGGGGTGGAGTTGGTGAGAGTGCTGGTGATGCGGCGTGCCCGCCGACTGCTGATAGGAATGCTGAGGCACTGGCTCCGACGGAGCAGGGTAGAGGCTGTGTTGGTCAATGAAGGCCTCCCGGCGGGGCTCCGGCGCCCCGGGGAAGGGCCCGGAGGCCGAATGGGAAGGCTGATGTTGGGATGAAGACGCGGGTGGCGGTTGATAGGCATAGGGGTTGGTCGTCGGGCCTGGAGCAGTAGAGGTGGCGCCAGCGCCGGTCGAAGGTGCTTGCTGATGCTGCTGCTGTTGTTGGTGTTGCTGCTGTTGCTGCTGCTGCTGCTGCTGCTGGTGGTGGTGGTGTGGTTGTTGCTGCTGCTGGTGGTGGAACAGTGGCTGGGAGACAGGCGCCGATGCCCAGCTTGGAGGCTGGGCTTGAGCGGCGGCCGGGTAGAGGGCAGCCGGCTGGGTAGGTGGCGGGGCCCATGAGAGGTAGGCGGTGGTCGGTTGGCCGCCCGGTGCCGTGTGAGGCATGGCCACCGGCAGGAAGGACGGTGCAACAAAAGATCCAGCAGCGAGACCGTGCGGGTAGACGACCGTCTGCGGTGGCTGCTGATATGTCTGGGGGTATTGTGGCTGCTGTGAGTGCTGCGGGGGTGGCCCCGAGGACGAGGGACCGGTGGCGGTGAAAGTGCCTGATTGGGGCATTTCGGAGGCCGTGGTCAGATAGGTGGCCGATGGTCCAGCGTGAGCGGTGGCCGAAATGGCAGCCGCATGCTCTTTGATGGCAGCCACCTCCTGGTGGAGCTTCAGCTGCGTCTTACGTAGCCGACGGCGAGTGAGCTCCAGCTCCCGACGGAGCTGTTCGTTGACGGTCTCCAAATGCTGAACATGGCCCACAGGGATTAGTACCTGATCGAGAGAGAGAGAGAGAGAGAGAAGGCAGGCGCAAGCGGCGGTGAAGAAAGAAGCCCGGGGTAAACGCACATGAACCTCGACGCGAGATTGCTGCAGAGCCTGCTCGACGGCGGCGGCCACCGCGCCAGCATGGCGCTCCTTGTCATTGTTGATCACCGCCGAGGCGACCAATTCCACCCGCGCAGCACGAACTACTTGCATTTCCAGGCCGGCAATCTGGCGGCGCATTTCGGCCACGCGTGACTCGAGGGCCAAGTTCGCCTGGGTCAGTTGGGTGAGACGCTCATCGCGCGCGGCCTCGGAGAGATGTGCATGGGCGGGATCCCCCCCGGGAATGAGAGCCCGGCCGCCCCGAGGCGCCAAGGCACCAGGCCCGGCTAACCCCTGGCGTAGGGTGTCGCACAAATCAACCTGCACACGCAAGCGCTTGTTCAGGTCACTGGCGCGCGCGCGCGCGTGTGTGTATGTGTGTGTGTGTGGTGCATGTATGCACGGAAGAGGGGGAGGAGGCGGAATGTTGGTTAGGCGCCGCACCGGCAGGGATAGGGGAAGGGACGCTAGACACGCACGCTATTTCGTGCCGCATGCCGGCACACTCCTGCATGGCCGCATGGCGCTCATGGTCTAGATAGGCGTATGCCTGCTGCCAAGCGGCACGTTCCTGTTCCCAGGCCTGGCGACCAGCACGCAGGGTCTCCAATTCGGCGCGCTCGGAGAGCGAGCGCTCCAAATGGCTCCGGGCCAGTCGAATGATCCCGGCCGCGAAGAGGGTAAGCTCATGCGGCGGGAACTTGTACAGCTCCGAGGGGTTAAAGCTCATCAGGAAGGAGTCCGACACGCGGGAATCCACCAGGTGGTGGTGGTGCTGGGCCGAGGGGTCCAAGTGATCCGGCTGATAGTAGGGCTGCTGCTGGGCCGGGGGACGCTGACTTGCGGCACCGGCTTGCGGATCGGGCGACACCTGCCGGCCGACTGAGGACACGGCACTGGCCAGGGTGGCGACATTGCTACCGGCCAGCGCCGCCAGCTGGGCCACCTGCTCCTCCAGACACATGCCCGGGCTGGAGGGCATCGCCTGTTGAGGGGCCACAGGCTGGGCATCGGCCTGCCGGGGGCCAGCCTGCCCGGCTGGCTGCTGCGAGGGGGGCAGAGAGGTGGTTGGGAGATCGGTCGGCTGGGTGGCATTGTCGAACATCGACAAAACCCGCCGAGCCTGGGCCTCGAGCGCGTGCCAAGAGGGGTCATCCTCCAGAAGGCTCGACCGTTGTGACGAAGACCGGGAGAGATCTTGAACATGGAGGCCGGACGTGCTGCCATGAACGTTACTGCTGCTGCTGCTGTTGTTGCTGCTGTTCCTTGGGTTGGCATTGGCCGAGCGCCCGGTGTCGCTGCCGCCGCCGCCGCCGTCGCCGCCGCCGCCGCGGCCCCCGCTGTCGACTCGCCCGCTGTTGACGTTGTGCCGGGCCGCTGGTAGAGCAAGGCCCGAGGCCGAGGGTGATTTCGCCGCCCGCGGCGAGTCAGAGTCGCTGGTAGAGCGCGATGCCTCTGACGAGCTGGGCGGCGTCAAGTCACCAGGCCGCCCGGTGGCCAGCGGAGACCGGACTCCTCGGGGTGAGCCGGGATGCGAGGTCGCATGGGCAGGCTTGGAGCCGGCCGACGCTCCGGCGGCGCTGCCACGCGATGCCTCCAGCGCCAAGCGCCGAGCCTCCGGGCTGGAAAAGGGATCCAGCCCCACAGCATGGAGTCCGGCCAGGTCGCGCAGTTCGCTGACCAACCGATCTAAAGATGACATGTCGCTATGGCGCTTGATAGCCAAGCGGGAAAGCTGGATTCACCCAAAGAGAGTGGGGTCAGGAGGCTGCCGGTGGTCAAAGGGAAAGGGGTGCCGGAGGCAACGTACAGCCTGTGCCTGGGTGGATGGCCGGAGGGTGGCCCCAAGACTCGGAGGCGTGCCCGGGACCGCAGCAGCGGACAAGGCGCAGGCGGAGGACGATGCATCCGGCGGGGCCACCTCGAAGAGGCCAGCCAGTCGGTCGGAATGCCCTTTGAGGCCGGCACTCCGGGTCGGGTCCAGGGGGTCCCGGCCGCCAGCGCCCATCGAATGGGTCGCCGGCAGGGTGCTGACATTGCCACGCCGGGCCGACAACTCAAGAAGGGTCCTCAGGAGGTCACTGTCGGCAGCCGACGGGGTCGTCTCAGCTCCAAGCGTCGAAGTGGCGAGGTTGTTGCCGTTGACGGAGGCAGACGAGCCAGGGGGCTTGCCAGTGCTGTGAGTGCCGCCAGCACCGTCAGTGGCGCCAGTGTTGCCAGTGCCACCGGCCTGGGCCTTGCGACTGTGGGCAGGGTGCTCTGCAGATTGGAGGGGGTCTTGTTTGCCCTCCAGCTCATCTTCCGGCAGGATGTCGTCGATGTCCCGCAAAACTTGGGACATGGTCAGCCGGCCGATCCCCGGCAGGAGCGACTCCAGGAGATCCTCGTCAAGGAGGTCTTCCGCAAGTTGCTGCGCTTGCTGCTGCTGCTGCTGCTGCTGCTGCTGCTGCTGCTGCTGGTCGGACCGCTGCGATGGTTGTTGGTTCTGCCACGATTTGGTTTTGGGCGCCATCGTGTCAAATGGGACGGCACTTGGCACGCGCCCGGACGGGACTCGAGTACCAGGGTCGAGGGTGCCGGGCCCGCTAAAGAGGCTGGCCGGAAGGAGTGTGCCCGGCGTGGGGGAAAACTCGAAGGGAGTCTCGGCCGGAAGCATTGGCACAAAGGTGGGAAGGGATGGGGGCGACGCAAAGCTGCCCGGGGCGCTGGGGTTTGGGGCCGTGTCGGTCGGAGTCCAACGTTCGGTGGTGGTGGTGGTGGTGGTGGTGGCGGCGGCGGTGGCGGCGGTGGTGGTGGCCGATCGAGTCGGATGCGCATCCACTAGGGATCTCGCCTGTGGAGAGAAGGGAGCCGAGGCCGCGGCCGAGGATGCCGGCGAGGGGGAGGTCGAGGGCGATGAGTGGGCCGAAGGAGCGGCGGCGCGAAAGACAGCCGCATGGGCGGGTGGCTCGATGCCGGCGGTTGGGCCAGCCGCCATCCCAGGCGAGTAGGCCCCTCGAGTGAGAAGAGAGGAGAAGGGCCCGGAAGTGGAGAGGGGCTGCTCGCCCAGCGGCGGCCGGGGCTTCAGCTCCAATGGAATGCCCCCTGGGGAGGGGACAGAGCTGGAGGTCCACTCGGCCAGATAGCCCGCATGAAGGGGATCTTCCGGGTGGGCAGCTGCCGGGAGCTTGGATGGCGGTGTGGCCGAGCCAGCGGCCGCGACGGTGACCGCGCTCAATCCATCTGGGCTGCCTGACGCCCGAGAGGACGACAGCTCCCGGTATCGGGCCAGGAAATCTTCCAGAGCCGGAGCCCCGGCGGCAATCGGAGTGCTGGTAGAGGCGATGGCGAATGGGGTGCCGGTAGAGACGGCGCCGGTCGGGGCGCCCGCGCCAAGACCACTGGGCGAGAGGCCAGCTGGAGACCGAGGAAGCGGGAGTGTGGCAGCCGAGCTGCTGGCCATTGGAGCGGCCTCCCCCCATGCGGGCGCAGAGAAAAGCCCCCCCGAGGAAGAGGATGACGAGGAGGCAACGCCAGAAACAACGCCCGCGGGCTTCAAGCACGCAGGCGGGTGTGGCGGATGAATGTGAGGTCGGGTCCAGAGAAAGGAAGAGCTGTGTGTGTGTGTGTGTGTGCGTGTGTATCGATGAATTCGTTGCATACCGAGGGTGTGGACGGATACAGGGAGGGCTTCGCGGTTGAAGCCCCACGAGAGGCACTGTATGTGGCCGAGAAGACTGGCCGGACATCCACGGTGGCCGCGCCGGGCGCAGGCCGGCGGTCATCAACATCCGAGTCGGAACTCACATCCTGGATGGAAAAGATATCAGCCGGAGACTGGCCAGGCTGGGACGCGTATGTGCCAATGGGAGCAGGCACATGCGCAGGCGCGCGTGTAAATAGAGGGACAGCCGAGGAGCGAGAGGGTGGATGCGTGTGCATTCATATGCCCCCCCGAGAGCAAGTGCGTGCTGCGAGGCGCTTGGCGCGAACGCACCTTGTGGGCCGGGGACAAGTAGAAGGCCGGGCCGCTGCCAACAATCGGCGATGGCGTGGAAGACATCTTCCCCAGTGGGGGATTGCGCGCACGCGTGTGTGTGTGTGTGTGTGTCTAGCTGGGTGTGTGCGTGGGTGTGGTGTGCGTGGGGGAAGGGGGGGAGGGGAGCTAAGGGGCGAGCAGGGAACAAGGACCGCGCCAGTGCATGCCACCTGGGGGTGAGAGGCAAAGGAAGGGAGTGCCAAGAAGGCCGAAAGGGCAAATGACCAGCAGGCAGAGGAGAGGACCAAGATGGGAGGAGATATATGGGGGGGGGGGAGGGAAAGAGGAGGAGTGTGAATCGCCCCGCGCTCGTGGCCACCCGGAAAAAGGCGCCGAAAAAGTGCACAGGGACATGCCGATCGCCGATCTGCACACGGGT